CGGCTGGGGCCAAGTGCTCAAAGGCTGCCCTCGGGAAGCTCACATTCTCCATCGTTCAACTCTTTCTTGTGTTCAAGTCACTTGCAGGCAGGCCTCTCCCTACCGTGCTGGCCCTCTAGGGAATTCTCTAGTGACTACTTTAGTGGGACTCTTTTCTAGCAGTTCCCACGGAAATCTCAGGGCTGACTGCCACTGGGCCACAATGGCTTATGTGATCATCCTTGAACCAACTGTGGCCAGGGGGTGGGACCATGCGGGTGGTGCAGGCCTGGGTCACCTGGCTGTCCCTGGGACTGAGTGGACAAGGGTGACCTCTACTGGCAGAAGAGGGGAATGCAACTGGCAAAGAGCATGTGTCTATTAGCCTTCGGAGGGAAATAAAAAAGATTCCTCAATCACAGGAGCGGGGATTGTTAGACTTGGCCTTTAAGGTCTGCACTCCCACCTCGGTCTTGACTGTGGCTCTCCATGATCCTTGTTGGCTTAGTCTGGGCTAAGACCCAGACCTCAGTTTCCCTACCTGTCTCTCCCAGCCCACCTGACTCCACCAGCTGGGCTGCAGTACTGATTGCCTGGGAGCACACGGCCTTTTGCCAACTCCCAGCCTCCTGCTTGGCCCACTGCCCCAGTTCCCTGGTTGCTTTGCCCCCATCTCCAGCCTTGGCTTTTTCCAATCCATGCCATTCCCTGGAAATCCTGTCCCCAGTCCAGCAGAGCCCTGGATCAGAAACCTCCAGCCTACTCCTTGGTGTCAACAAGAAAAACGAACTTCTCATCCCCATGCCTGGACTCCTTGCACCATCCCTGACCCCGCCCCCTCAGCAAAAGGCACCTTCCCTAGTTCCGAACGGTGTTGGCCATCCTGGCACACTGGCTCACTTATTTGCCTATAGCTGAAGGGACAAACTTGAGTCACTGCTGCCCTGGGCCCAGCATACACGTGGTGCTCACACGAATGCTTGCAAAGCTGCATTTTCCAGCTCTTGTGCATGACTGCTTCTCAATTAACGGACAGGAGAGGAAGTCAGGCAGCTCCACAGACGGACAGGAAACGGCAAGAGACAGAGAAGCCAAGAGAGTCACAGAGAGAGTGAGCGTATGACTGAGAAACAGATCTGGGGGGGGAGAGGGGTGGAGAGAAGGGTGGCGGATTCACAGGGACAAGTCTGGAAGGGACGGAGCTTCATCCAGGACGGAGACGCGGACACGCGGGGAAGACAGAAAAGGAGAGCGCAAAAGGGTGCCAACTGAAGCATATTTTTGGTTGAGCAAACAAAGTCCCTATGATTTCTGTTTTGTCAAGCCGAACTTTATCAGGAGTTCAGGAGTCTCTTTCGCTGAGCAATCAATCCCGGGAAAAACACTAGAACATGGCAGAAAAGAAGGGGGTGGGAGGGAAAGGCAGACAAAACAGAACATTTGCCTCCAGGTGGGTTGGCACAGGCAGGCCTCACTAAAACAATAATCCCATCCCTGCCCTCCCTGCTGGCAGATCAGCCTCGGCCAGGTTTCAGGTGGAAGAGGAGATGGTGAGACAGGCCAGAGAAAAGGAAACCATGGAGGGAGACTCCAGGGAGGGAGCCTGAGCTGCCAGGGAGAGAAACGCCCCAAACGCCAGGAGGGGAAAGGGCCCCGGGAAGGTTCTGCCTCCGGCCTGGCCGCGGGTCACTTAAGCCAAGACAAAGTTGCCATCCACGTCCGGGCCGACTTCTCAGAGTGCCTGCCACAGCCTCGCAAAGTCGAGGACCAGGGCCTTTCCGTGGGGGCCCTGCCTGGCTATGCGACTGTTTCTGTGTTCTCGCCTCAGCGAGGAGGTCTGTCACCCCTGTGTCCAGTGTCCAGCTTGTGCTTAACGGTGGCAGCTAACGTGACCCTGGGAGGCAACAGTCCCTGCGTGCAAGGAGCTTAGTGCCCTGCACAAAGTCAGGGCCACACGGTCGTGCACGAGAGGCCAGAGCAGCTGGCGAGGGGCCCTCTCGCCATCCAACAGATTTTACCCTTTATTACGATGCTAGAAAGCCACATGGTGTTCATGATTTGAATTTTTTTTTATTTTCTGAAATGGAACCATTGTACATTGTACAAACCATATCTACTGATGGAATAAATAAGTGAAAAATTATACTGCTGTACAACACGCCAAAAAGAAAGAAAAAAAAAAACGTAAGAGGAAAAAAAATTAGGTAACGGTGAAAAAAGGTCTTTATACCTCTAACCAGGTCCTTGGCGATAATGAACATTCCAAACCATGACATCGTTTGTAAT